TCAGAATACTTCAGCGTACAGTTCAGCTGGCCTAGTGCTAACCAGGCTGTTTCATCTCCGACTGAAGCTCCGTGGGCAGTGTCATGCGATCTTCCAACGGAAGCAGAAGTTCGGTCTTGCATTCAAGCTCTGAATCGAGGAAAGGTAGCAGGACCTGATGAGCTTCCTCCCGCTCTTTTCAAGATGGAAGGTGATAATCTTGTAATCTCTATTACCACCCTACTGCGCAACATTTGGATGCAAGAGCACATTCCTCCATCTTGGGGCGAATCACTGATTGTTCCCATTTTCAAGAAAGGATCCCTCATCGATTGCGAAAACCACCGCGGGATCAGTTTGATCCCGATAGTCACCAAAGTGCTAGCTTCGGTTATACTTGGACGTCTGACGCCTCTAAGAGAGATGAACATCCGTGAACAGCAAGCCAGATTCTGGCCTGGCCGTGGATGCATTGATCAGATTTTTACGTTGCGTCAGATCCTTGAGCTGCGTCATACCCACCGTCGGCCAACGATCGCAGTGTTCCTTGATCTGAAAGGAGCCTTCGACTTAGTTAACCGCAAAACTCTGATGGGCTGCCTTCTTCGAAAAGGAATGCCCCAGAAGTACGTTTACCTACTGAGATCACTGTACTCATATACCTCCGATCGTGTAAGAGTCTACAACGAACTAAATAGGCTGTTTGCCACCAGCAGCGGCGTTCGTCAAGGGTGCCCTCTTACGCCGTTCCTGTTCAATTTCGTCGTAGACGAAATACTGGAGAGCGTGCTAAGGGGACTCCAAAACGTAGGCATTGAATGGACAGCTGGGGAAAAACTGCACGATTGTGGGTACGCCGATAACGTCATCTGTCTGTTCGCATGTATGGAGGATGCGCAAAGCGCACTTGATAGACTAACAAGTGCAGTAGCCACTTTCGGTATGTGCTTTGCACCTTCAAAGTGTAAAGTAATGCTGCAGGACTGGGTTTCGTCTACTCCCGCTCTGAAACTAAATTATCAGGATGTAGTTATTTTGGATTATTTTTCCTACTTATGTAGTTGCGTGACCAATGACGGTAGCGCAGCAAAAGAGATAACCGCTCACATTTCCAAGGCTCGAGCAGCCTACGCAGGATTGAAATACCCTTGGCGTAGATGCGACGCTTCACTGAAGCTGAAAGGTCGTGCATATTGTGCCACCGTTTGTTCAGTTCTGCTTTATGGTTGTGAGACTTTGAATTTGCGAGTAGAGTATATCCTTCGACTAGAAGTTTTTGATTATCGGTGTTTACGTAGTTTAGCCCACGTTGGATGGGGCGAACGGGTTGGTAAAGTGGAGATAAGCCGTCGTGTGTTTGGGAGTCTATCAGGTATAAACCTGCTAACATACCGAATTCAGATTACTGGACTTCGCTGATTAGGGCACGTATTGCGTATGTCCAGCCATCGTCTGCCGCACCGCGCTTTATTTGCTGTGGCCAATCCGAGCTGAAGGAAACCTCGTGGAGGTCAACAAATGATGTGGAGACGAGGCATGAAGAAATGCACAGAGCCATCACGTAGACTAGGTGTCTCTCGCCTTCCAGGTTTGGGTCCGAAAGACTCAACAACTGGTTTGTTAGAGACACTGAAGGATATGGCAGCGAACCGGCAGCAGTGGCGTTCTTGTTGTCGTTTCTTATCAGGTCTGAGTGCTTGAAACCGTTTGCATGCAGAGTTCGATTGCGTACTCTGTGTTGACCATAGTGGCTCACCTTCTCACTCCCTCAAAATAGATCCGATCCTTGTCCACCTTAAATTTTACCGCTAACCTTGTATGCATTGCGCGTTTGGCAGCGATCAGTGAAGTCCGCTTCACTGTATTTCGCTGTACGATGATGGTGATGACCACATTCATGCTATGCGCTCTCACATGCATGTAAACATCTGTTTCTTGCAGCTCGTATCGATAGCCCAAAGGAAGACATCAGTCAAGCACTTCGTCTGACTAGTACCGAGTGTTTGAACGCCATGACACAGGCAGCGAACACCGGCGAATTGCACTGGTCCCACTCGGACGCTTTCAACAACGGTGTGGATACGATTGCGGATGGGGTACCAATGCTGTCACTACTCTGTTGGGATCTGAGTCGCGGTCATGCAGTGACACAAATGGCCGCAATGACTGTGCTGGAATTGCTGATTGGAATCGATCGCTCATCCGCGGACTTTGTCACTTTTCTGAGCGCACAAGGCACACTTCAGGTGCGTTCTCTCATTTCACTGTTATGCTAACCACTTTGGTTTGCAGCTCACATTCATTTGCGCCAGTAGTCACGTTGCTTCCACTAGCGGTCAATTTTTCAAACACTGCTCTCCAACCGTTTTGTTTGCATAGGCGAAACATTCCCTTTTTCGTTCATTCAGCAATCACACGTCCGAGTCCAGAGAATATGCCAAACAATTCACGGTGCAGTAAGCTTTGCATCAAAGAATGCAGTCCATGGATTGATGGTGGAGCTAGATACCGCCAGGGCACAACCGGAGCCTTCAGTTAGCCGAATCCTGACCAACGCAGCGGAGCGGTGTATGAAAACGGCGATTCGTCGGATTGTACGCCCTTTAAATGTGGGTAAATGTCCAAGACACCCAATCAAACCGCTGATAACTGATGTGTCTGCTGTATGCGGAGATGTTTTGGATTAGTGATGAATAATGTCGCAGCGTCAACAAACTGAAACCGGGTTTATGGATATGAAATCTCTGACTAAGAGGCTAAGTCATACTGGTCGCATTAGGCTTCGGGATCAGCGTAATCGATGATTCCAAAGACTGAGTGGTGTGGCGGAGTGTCGTAAACTGTGGCGCCAATGTGTCTATTCGCTTTCTTCGCAACACCTTGAGACCGCCACATCTTTCTACTTTTGCTGTTTGCTTGATCCAAGTGTGCAGTCGAAGATAGTAACCAAAACGGCCACGCGAACGGGCAAGGCTAATGTTTGGGCAAATTGGATTGTCACCAGTCCATCAGTTGCCGTATGACAATGCATTCCGAATTCTGTGCAGTGTATAACTTTCAAGACCGGATTGCGGTGTTAGTCGATTTAATTCAAGTGTCCAAAATAACCGAAAGCAATCTCGATGGCCACCTGGTGTTTTTTGCGGATTCCCTAAACCAACAACCAACAAAATTGTGAATTTGTTGATATTGTCTTTATACTCTCCTGTATGACTGTTATTTGGCATGATTTCTCAGGCATTTATCCTATTAATGAGCTCGGTTGCAGTACTATCAATTGCAGTTTTGAATTCAAGAACTTTTGGTGCAGATAGATCTTTCCCTAAGCGGAATCTTGCCACTTTTCCGGTAACCTGATCTCACCATTACTCATATCCTCCATGTGTCCATTTGTTCGTTGTCTCTAGCATCTCGTGGATTCCATACCAATGGATTTGGCCACTGTCGAGTCTTTTCTACTCTCAGCAATCCAACCTAGTCCTCTGGATGAGGAAGGTTTGGGTTCCGGGGATCAAGCTGCTGTCTCAACCGATGCAGATTCTGTCTCTGCGGCAACATCCGCCTTTCACATGTTTCGCACCAAAATGTCCCTCTTGTGCCGTGCCGCAACAACTCTCCCGGGGGCTAAGGTAACGCATGCATATAGAGCGTGGTTCATTGATAATTGGCGATCTGTCTGTAGTTCACTGTGTGATTGCGTCACCGTTAGTGTCAGTGCGTTTTATTCTAACAGTTTTATTCCATATAGCCATAATATTTTAATGCACACATTTGTGTCGTGAACAACAAACGGGGCGAACCCCATGGTGAGGAAGACCTACTGCTCCGTCATGGAAACTGGTAACTTAAGCTCAACGGGACTTGGAGTCGCGAACCACATAAGGTCCCGAAAGGTTAGACGTGGTATTGAATCGAACGACAGCAAAGCTGTCTACCACCAAAGTTAGGTGGCGCTAGCGAGCATCGAACCTCGGACCATAGGGTCCAAAGCACGCCAGTGACAGTGAGTAAACGACTGCGCCACCACCGCCGTATTACTTTGCGCTCAAACTGTTCGCGGTGGACCGTGTATCGGCTTCCAATCCACATATTGGCCACTGGAGACCCACCCGGGACACAGTCATAGCACGCACTCTGAACGAGCCCCAAAAGTACGAAAAAACTGTTCAGTTCTCTTTGTCGGCCCCCTTATTCTTTTGCAATTTAGATAGTCGTTTCTACCTCAAAATTTGTTTATTTCGGCCACATGTGATTTTTTGCAAGTGAACTGATGGCATTCGAACTCTAGACTGGGAAACTAATGAACACAATTAGTTAGTATAAAATTGTTTGTTCAGATCGAGCTGTATCACGTGTTTTCACTCCGGACCGTTTCACTAGCTTTCTGCTGTTGTGTTGGAGGTTTCGCTCAAACTCTACATGTCCCTTTGTTTTATTTACACATGTGATCTATACTCTGGTTTGTGAATCTTTTTGTGCTTTACCTAGCACTTGTTAATTTCAGTTTATATGCATACTCTCTAAACTACTCTTGTCTTTCTGAAGTTTTCAGTCAATTTCATTTAAGTGTTCTCACTGTGACCTCATAATTCTACATTTCATCTTCCCCTCGTTCTTTCCATCATCGTTGTTATTACTGCGCGTCCCTGGCTATCCACCGCAGCGTATCACACAAAGTAACCTGCTCCCGTGTCTGTCCAGTTGCGGAATCTTCTCCGCATTCACTGTGGCCAGCTGTTATGCACACGGTTTGGATTCACTGTACGCATGCGAGGATCTAGATGGCACCGGTCCTCACAAACGCAATCACGAAACCTCAACCGTCGCTTGGACCCGGCTACACTATTTATTGTCCTCTTGTGTGGATGAGATCAGAACAGACGAGTCCTCTGTACTGCAACATATAGTTCGTCTGATCTCCCTGAGCGACTCTGCCGATTCCTTGTCCACAGATGGCAGTGAGATCACCTGGTCGAGTGTCTTGTTGCCTGCAGTGCGTTTGCTGAAATCGTTACTGATCACTATGGGTAAGCGATAGTCTCAGTCGTATTCGGTTTTCTGTTCGCTCGATGTACACACATACACATTCAAATTCAAATTTTTATTATGGGCAAATTAAAAAGCTGATGCTTATTGAATCCTGTAGAATCTAGGTTCGGTTGGTAGTACAATCAAGTAGCAAATTATGACGTTCACTCACGGGTGCTGAAAAGTTAGGTGTTCCAATGCTTCATCCAGTCGTGACTTAAATGAATCGATGGTTGATGCACAAACAACTTGATGTGGAAGAGAGTCCCAGGTATCACAAACTCTGGGGCTAAAGGAGTGACGCCTACAGTCTAGCTAACTCTTTTGAAGCAAGCGTTTAAACGGATATCCTAGTAGGTGAAACACAAAAAAATGCTATTCCATTCATTCGTAATCTATTCTGACAGTTACGTCTCTTTCCCTATACTCTGTATCCCAAGCTCCCCCCCGCGTTATTTTTATTGTTATTATTGTTGTGGCGTTGGCACCATGCTTGTTCTCAAGCCGATGCAATTATATATATATATATATATACATATATATATATACATATATATACATATATATATATACATATATATACATATATATATATATACATATATATATTACTGTCTAAGTCATAGTCAAAGTTTTATTATGGGAATAGCTTACAAGCTGGTGCTTCTCTTGTCCCATAGAATATTTACACAAATGAATCTTTACACATGGAAAAAGGAGTCGCATAGAGATCCGGGTAGAAGATAGAGAATGTAGGCTACAGTGAATTTCCGTTTGCCTTTAGTGCACGGATGTGAGGTGTGCCAAGGTTTTGTCGAGTCTCTGCTTGAAAGATTCAATAGTGGGTGCACAAACGACATGAGATGGAAGGGCGTTTCAAGATCTGCATACTCTGACTGCAAAAGACTGGCGCCAGCAATCCAGTCGAGACTTTGGAATCAGTAGTTTGAAACGGTG